CCCCCCCCCAAACAGGAAATTCATTTTTTTTGACCAGTAAAGCATCTTAAGGAAACTGTTGTGAATTGGTGCTATATAAATAAAAGAGAAATCCATCCATTTATTTTCTGTCATTAGGTAAATGGTGGGGTGCACACTGGATCTATCACAGGGCTGAAAGAACCAACGCAGAGATGGGGGGGAACATGCAAACTGCACACAAAAGGCCCCAGCTGGATTCAAACCCAGAACCTTTTTGCCATGAGCCAGCAGTTCTAACCACTGCACTGCTTGCTGTAATTACAGTTGAAATGAAAAACAAAAACATTAGCATCTTTAATATGACGTATCCAACAATCACTCCGTATGCTTGCTGTTCTTTGATGTGTGCTACAGGCTGCGGTGAGAGGACTGGTGATGCTGATCTGCTGTTTGAACCAGGTGATGATGACAGCTCAAAATTATTAAGCTTTTTTTCAGCATTATGATGTTTTTAGAAATCATAAAGGTGGAGGTGGCTGTAGCTCAGGAAGTAGAACATCTACTAATTGGAAAGTTGGTGGTTCGATTCCAGTCTACATGCCAAATTTCGTTGGGCAAGATATCGAAGCCCAAGTTGTTATGTGATGCATCCATAGGAGTATGAATGTTAGATAGAAAGCACTTACATAGAAGGCAAGTTGTATAGAGCGCTCAGGTAGAGTAGAAAAGCCCTCTTGGCCAGATTACTCTTAAAAACACATTTTAAAAAAATGTCAACCGGACTTTTAGACTGTATAAATAAAAGATAAATAAAAATCACTTTGCTAAAAACTGATGGGGGCTTCTACTTTGTGACAGAAATGTTGTTTGTGGCCCAAGGAGACTTTATATCATTCACGAGGGCCACGTTTGACATATATTTCACATATTACATGCCAACGTGTTATTTGTGACACTTCAAATATGGGCAGCCACTTCTTGCCAAGAACCGGAAGTCAGTTTTTGGCACAACACCGGTCCACATCAACCACTGAAACCATCTCCTCCAGTTCCCACACAGGCTTCAAACGTGAAGGTCCTCCTCCCTGTGATGTGGTGCAAACCTGAATGCTGCTGCTGAAATGCGGGCTGCACAGTTTTATGTGGCTGCTTTATGTTTTTCAGGCTGAGGCGGAACAACACAGTCGATTCAACGGGTCAAATTTTTACGGTTAATCATTATTTGCCCAGAAGCAGTCGAGGGGAACGAGGAAATCGACTTCTTCTCCAGCGGTTTAATGGTGGCTGCTATTCCTTAGTGCGACACCTGGTGGAGATAGTTATCACATGCAGTAAACCCCACAAATCCCTGTTGCTGCTGCTTTTTTTTTTTTTTATATAGCTGTTTCGATTATTATCGTTAAAGGGGAGCGTTAAAATAATAAAAGCAACTAAAATGGGAGTATATACAGGCGATAATTTTTTTAAATATAAAAACGGGAAAATCCAACAAGGAAAATGCTCAAATCTGGAGTAAAAAAGGGGCCAATGAGGCTAATCAGGTTCACACATTTAAAGTGCTTGGTGAGTCCCATTCTGTTCTTTGACATAATTAACTATGCGTGATTATTATAAGATAAACGTCCAAAAAACGTGTGGTGATATACAACTGATTTACACCACATTTCATGAAAAAGTTAAGGTCATTACTCTTAATAGAGTTACTGGATGGACTAATTCAAAAGACTAGCAGAGTGATCAGGAGGGAGCTACACTCTGGCTGTGGATCTAAAAGGAGGCAAGCTCAAGACTGAGCGTTACTTTACTGTGATGGTCCCGTTTACTGGAACAACAGAGGGGGGGTTACTTAAACTGAGGCTAAATCCTTCTGTGAATCTAAAAGGTCTTAAAACTGTTTTCAATCTGTTTGTAAAATATATTAAAGTTTGCATGAACAGTAAGAGCACTGCTTGCACAGTTGTGTTGCTGTGCTGTTGTATGTGCTAATCGGTATAACTAGGCTGCTCCTTCATGCTGCTATTTAATGTGAATATGAATATTTCTTCGAAGCTTTTCTTTCTTATTAAAAAGATAAAAACGCACTTCAGCTCCATTTTTAAGTTTTTTTCCACAAATAAACATGGTAGTGCCAAACCACACCTGTGATTGAGGTTTTGAGTTTGAACCTGTGTATGCATATGTGTGTGGTTTATATATTTTCAGACATATATAAACTGTCTGCTTAAACCTTTTTTCTTTCAGTCCCAGTGGCTCATGCACATGCACACATGTGTGTCAGTTCATTTTATCTGTATATACAGCAGCATTAGAAATACTCCTAAAGCGGTGGAACACGGGTGATTAGTATTTTCCTCTGTTTCTCTCTCTTGTGACTTGCAGAACAAGAACAACAATTCGAAAGGGGCCGAACAGCAAAGGAGAAAACAAACTTTCGCTTTTCAACAGATAAAAGGCGTGATTCAGGTTAAAAAAAGTGCAAGAACGTGCGAAGTGCAGCTGCATGACACAAAAGTGTGAAAACCAGAAAGGCTTTTCCTGCCTCATAGCCTTTCACACACTCCTCTGCTGCTGGTGTCTGCTGCACTTTGGCAAAAAAGGCTCAGATGGGTTTCTGCCACTGAGCCAACATGGAGACTGAGGGGAGGCTGGTCCAGTCAATTTACTATGGGAGTATTGGAAGTCAGGACACAGAGCGGCTGCTGGAGAGATTCGGGTATGATGGCAGCTTTCTACTGAGAGACAGCAGCACAGTACGGGGGGCCTACTGTCTGTGTGTGAGGTGAGCTGCCGGAGGAGCGGTACAAGTGTGACCCAAGTGTGCCAGTTTTCTTGTATTTGTGCAAACTTATGAGTTTGCTAGGATACTTTTGATTTAATTATGTATGTATTTATGAGTACATATACAGAGCGCTGTGACATTAACTTTGTATTTCACACTGCAGATACAAGGGAGTAACAACTGACAGTCTCGAATGAGGAGATACTAATTATGCTGTAACAAATACCTTCTTGGTATTTTAAAATAAAAACTACACAAATGATGCTTTACTTATTATAATTAATGATTACTGCTGGATTGGTTTACAAGAAAAAAAAAGAAACCAGAAAAAACTCACACAGACACTGGGAGTGCGTGTAGACAAGCGTGCACACAGAAAAGCCGTAGTCCCACAACTGGGACAACTAGACTGAAATGTGCAAATGCTCTGTGAAAAACAAAATGAAGCAATATAAATCTACAATCTCAGACTCTGGTTCTGATATTTTAGATTAAAGGAGAAATGCTCAATTGTCGTTTTCTCAGTTGTTGTAATAACTCAGTATCTTTAGGGGGTGTGGGGTCTATTATCGAGTATCTTAATCCCCGTTTCTTACACTGGGTTTTTGGGCTGCTGGCTGTTATGCATTTCAGTGATATGTGTTTAAAGGTAAGGAAAGCTTTTAGAGAGTGTAACAAGGTAAGTAAAGCTTATTTGTATTGTACTTTTCACAGACATGAGAGTCACAGAGCGCTGCACAACAATGAACACAATCAATGTCGATAGAGAACTAGGTTAAAACAGAAGAAAAGAAAAACATATACAACAAAAGAACATCAACAGGAGTCCCGATTAAACCAAAAAGTTTTTAACTGGTTTTAGAAAGCTCCACTGAGTCAACTTAACTAACCTGGAATAGTGAACTGTTCTAGAGGTCCAGACTGAAAGGTTGTGTCCTCCCTCGTCTTCAGTCTTTTAAAATTTCATATTTTTCCATGCTGTATATTAAAAATTAGGAATGGTAATTTCCTACTAAACAACAGAACACTACGCAGAATAGAATACACCAAAAATAATGCTTATTTCGGATAGTTAGGATGCAGCCTGCAGCCCCACTATGTAAGTAGGAAATAATTGACCATTTTTCTAAAACTGTTAAAACGATGCTCGTTACACTCAACATTTGATAAATGTTGCATTTAAATAGAACATTTCTAATATTTTATGTTATTTTATTTTATGCTAAATGTGGCATAAATAAAATTACCTGGATAAATAAAAGTACCTGGATTATTGATAATAAAAAAAATTAACAGCTTAATCAATTTATTTCTTTAATCTTATCTTGATTATAACCGCGATTTAAGTTCCACTGTGTATTGAAATTAAAAATTTCATAATCTCCAGTGAGGTTATATCTGCTATGTAGTACTTGAAAATTATGACAGGAAGTATTTAAGTTATACTTAGGTGAAAGAACTTCTGCCCCCATTTAAAAATACATTATAAGGCCTGTATGAAAACATAAGTAAAATAATATAAATCTAAAAAAAAGTACTTCCTGCTTTATAACTTTACCCACAAGCTCCAAATGGCCCCTCTGATTAATATACTGATATTTTACACAGATCGATATCGCTGTTGCACCAATGTTTAAGCAGTATTTTACTCTTATACTTGGCTGTGGTTGAGCTCTTATTGGACTAAAATTTCACAATGTCATCTCAGTTACGCAGAACCTGAAGCGATCTTTGTTAAATCAGAAAAGCATCCACATTGTTGCATTCAGGGTGGGGTACAAAGTGCAGTTTTGTTAGAGCCTTTTAGAAAACAAACAAACAAACAAAAATACAGCAATCTTTTGCCAAATCTGAGACACTGAGTGTCACGGCAGGGCACAGCGGTGTGATGATGAAGTGGACCCAAGTGCAGACAGGGAAGGAGACAGAACTGTGTCTTTAAAAAAAAATGAGCCAGACTGATTAAACACAAATACCAAAACAAATCAGAGGCGAGCAGGGCAAAAAGTAAACTAAAACCCAAACTGGAAAAACTGAACTATGACCAATCTGTGATAACTATGATAACTGACATGAGCATTAACCAGGGATGTGCGAGAAAATATGATGTACAAGAACATGAAACCTGAACACGACCTGAGCAGAATACATGATGAAGGAATACAGATGACCCGACGATGACTAAAAGAAAACACAAAGACCAAATACACACAGAGGTGATTTGGAGAAGTGGAAACATATGGGGAAAACAGCTGACACAATTGAACGTCATGACACATCACACACAGGGAAAGGTACATTAAACACAGTAAACATAGAAACAAGACTTTCAAAATAAAACAGGAAACACTGAGAGACGTAGACATGACAACTAGCACAGAAGACAAGAACAGACTCACAGAAAGGGACATAGATGGGAACCTAAACTAGAATAAAACTCAACTCAATCCTAACTAATAATGGCAACACCAGAACTAAGCATATATTCAATATCATATAACAAATCAAAAAATACAAAGTGAATTCAAAATGCCGGGTCACAGCCCCTGACATCGAGTCCTTAGTAATGCTGGTAGCTCTCTTATCCAGGCAGCCAGCATAAATGTTGTCCAGACTGGGCTGTTCTCTGCAGTGTGGCTGGTGTCCCATACTGCGTATGTAGAAATGAAACAAAAGTACATGTGGAGGGGGTTACGTGTCAGATGTGCACAATACAATAAGCCTTTAACAACACCCTCTATTAAAAATATATTTGCCACATGCCGTGACACAATAAATCAGACTGCAACCTTTGTTTTGCAGGGTGATAATATGATAAGCAACAAAATAAAGGAAAATATGACTATACACATCAATCAGATTTGCTCTGGCAACTCGTTTCAGGTTGTGAAACACACATCTGAAATCACTGAATCATCCTCCACCCCAAACCACATTTTGTGTCTCTTTCAGATACACCAGATTTTAAAGAAAGTCATTCGGACTTAAGAATTGTCGTTTTTTGTGTTTCTTTTTACAGGAAAGCACCGTTTGTTCACACCTACAGGCTCCTACGCTCTGCCGATGGCTGGTGCCTTCAGGTGGGGGTACACACAGATATAGATCACACACACACAAACACAACATAAGGCGGGCATTTATAGTTTTGTGTATGTGGGATTGTTTCTTTGATTAGCAGGATTCAACAGTCAGATCACCAACATTTAGGACTCTGGAGGCACTATTAGAAGGCTACAGGAGGACTGCTGTAGTTGGAATAGCCCCGCTCACAGATCCCCTGGACAAAACACGAGTACGAAACAGCTTGGGCGAAGGTATGACACACAAATACACACATGAGCATATTTTTCCCTGCTTACACACACGGCCCATTCACCCACGGAGGCAAAAGCACACCCGTAAACTCATTTAAAATGTCTATGTTGACTCATAATCTATTTAGTCACCTCTAACACAGTCTCACTGATCTCCACCACAGACTTTCTTTACATGGAAATGAACAACAGCAGCAGCAGCTCTGTGTACTGAGGCCATCGTGCTCTTAATCTCTCAGACGATCAAACCGACAGAAACCACAGTGCCTCACTCATCTTGTCTGCCCCGTTTCACAATTTCTTTGTGTATTTATTTTCAGTTTTTGTGTTGATTTAGTCATGGTTTAAGACATATTTTCAGTAGCCCGCAAACTGCTACTGAAAGATATTTAAATGTTTTAACACACGCCATGAGTGGGAGCACTTTTTTTGTTGCTGGTTTTTTGAGTTTTGTTTTTGTTTTTTTAATTTTATGCAGTGTCTTTTTCATCAGACCTACGTTCTTGACATGTGGTTCCTCATGCTACTTACCTTTTTGGGTGCATACATAAATGATTTCTGTCCAAATGGTGTCAGGCTTAATGTAATGTTTTATGTTGTAGAAGTTTTGACAAGTGCTGTATTTGGATCAAGGTTGTTGACGTTTGTTTGCATTCTGTCTCGTTGAGAAAGTCGTGTACAGTGAAGTGTTTGATTTCTGGTTTATCGGTTTGTGCTCGCTCATTGTAACGACGTAGCAAACACAGCAGAGCAGGAAAGGTAGACCGTGAAATCTATTGTGAGCACCAAACTTTCTGTCGCAACGACTTTAATTGTTCATTTATGTTTTTTTCATTTTCACACATCTCTTCTCAATAACTGACAACATGTGATAGCAGGTCTGAAAATGACTTTATGGTATCAAATCTGTTAAACTTATGCTACTAATTAAATGTTAATATATTTAAAAACTATCTCAGATCAATTATAGGAGTTTTGTATAGAATTCTGTGACTGTGAAATGTATACAAACAGTAAATTCTGGGTGGAAATGTGCAAATTTCTTTTTTTATGGACAGGTAGAAGATGGATACTAAAACAAACAGAGCTTCTCGTCTTGCGCGAACATCACATCAGCTGCAACTCTTGCCAACACCTTCATTCATTAAGGGCAGTTTAAAACAAGATGCTTTCAAGCTAATACATTTTTCATGCTGCATGAATGTCTGTTGAATGTCAGTTGAGTAACATAAACACGTAAAAAGTGTAACAGAGGAGGGGCAAGCATAAATGAGGTAATTAAAAAAACATGTAAGTATGACAAGTAATTCCAAACAGCTCAAAAAATATTAGCATCTGCTTAAATGGTTCCTGTACAGATTAGCAAGCAGTGTTTTTGCTAGCTAAAGATACAGTTGTTGTGTCTTTAAGGGAGAAAAGTAAGATTAATGTGTAATAAATGTAATCTGAGGGATGACAAAAGCTGAAAGAAAGAGGACACAAGAGCTGTGTCCCAAAATGTAGGCTGCATCCTTCGGGGGCTGCATTTGATGACCGATTTCGTCACAGCCAGGCGACGAAGGCT